TTGCCTGAAGCTGTAGAGCTCCTATGAAAAGCTAATTTCGTGGAAAATTTTTTTGGAAATCCAAATATAGAGCTGGCTTTTTGTGCTTCATTTATGCACCCAGCTCGATGTATCTCAGTCATGTTTTTCTTTAAAACTTAAGTGAGACACGCTAATCCATCTTCCTTCTGCACTATGCAGTAAACAACTTGTCCAATTGCTTTGACCAACGCCTCATCGTCTGGTCGTCAGTGCGCTGGCAATTTCTCTAGTTGCTTTGACCAATACTGCATCGCCGGTGGTCAGCCTGTTAGCAGTGGTAAGTTCGGAAACTGGAAAAACTTGAATTTTCCTGAGAAAAGCGTAAAAGTATACTTTCTTGCTTCGGTAGAATGGATGCAGTGCTCTCCGCCGTATCCCGGGTCACACTCACATTTATAGCTTGCTGTTTCCCGACCATTTTTTATCGTAACTTCTGGACTCATACATATGCCGTGTACACAGTCGTGTCTTGTCCGATTTAGACTATCCGGAATGCATGGGTCCTCCACATTGCACTGCTTGCCGATATATCCTGAAGAAAAAAAAATTTTGTTCAGCTCCTTAGTACCATCGACCTAACCCAGAAAGAAGCTCGGTTATCTGTGAGAGGTCAAGGTTCGGTAAAGGGCAGTGAAATGAAACGAGCACTTCGATTTTAGCAAAATTCAGATAAACAAGTGATGAGCTAAACCTAATTTACCCTGAGGATACGGAACACTGGTTTAGGCCGGAAGTCCCGAAGAAGTAGAACAAACCCGTTTCGCAGCTGCAATTGTACGAGCCAATAAGATTGCTGCAGTCGCCATTAATGCAAAGGCCTTGGGCACATTCATCCACATCTTCAGTGCACTGCTGCCCGTGGTATCCAGTACCTTCGCAATCGCACTCATATCCATTTACTCGATCCACACAACGACCGCCATTCTTACACACATCGCCAACGCAGTCATCGATATCCACTGAGCATGTTTCACCTCAAAATGTTATGTTGTAATGAGGAGGGAAAAACACGTTTTTACGAGGTTCACATCCTCTTGCCAAGGCCTTTTTGTGTAATTTAAGAAAAAAAAA